ACACTTGGGTCCTCGCGGATCTACTGCGGGTAAGCGACCAATTGGGTGCAAATGGGTTTACAAGATTAAACATAAATCGATGACGACATTGAGAGGTTCAAAGCTCGCTTGGTGGCGAAGGCTACACCTAACAAGTCGGCATTGACTATTTGGACACATTTAGTCCTATTGCTAAGATGACTACCATCCACACTTCTTGGCGGTGTCTCCCATCAAACGATGGAATTTAGAACAATTAGACATCAACAATGTTTTCTTGCATGGTGATCTCCATGAGGAAGTTTATATGTGCCTTCCTACAGGTTTTCGATCCATCGGCTCAAATCAAGTTTGTAAACTTGTTAAGTCTCTTTATGGGTTGAAATCGAGGCTAGCAGACAATGCTTCGCTAAACTCTCTGTGCCCTCCTCGCTCGAGGTTTTTCCCGAGCGATTACGAGATCATAGTCTATTTGTTAGAGGCTCGGCTCCCACTTCATTCGTTGTGTTAATCTATATGGATGATATAATTCTCACTTAGTGGTGACATACGACAAATCCATCGGCTCAAATCTTTCCTCCATGATCGTTTCGGAATTAAGGATGCGGGACCTCTTAAATTTTTTCTTAGTCTTGAGGTTACTAGATCTTCCGGAGGCCTCGACTTAAGTCGATGCAAGTATGTTGTTGAACTCTTGCAGGACTCAAGTTTCCTTCATTCTAAACTCGTCTCTACCCCATGGTTCCTGCTCAAAGGCTTTTCAAAAATGACGGTCCCATGCTTATCCGACAACACTTACCTATCGAAGCCTTGTTGAAAAATTATTATACTTAACTATAACCAAGCTCGACATTGCCTTTATCGTGTAACAATTATCTCGAGTACCTTGATTGTCCTACGGAGAATCATTTGAGAGCTATTCATAGGGTGCTTCGCTTTATCAAAGTCATGCTATGGTCAAGGTCTCTTCTTTCCTTCCGAGTAGTGACCTTCGAGCTTCGAGGTTTTTTCGATTTAGATTGGGGCACTTGTTTAGACACTAGGAAATCCATTACTGGGTACTTGTGTGTTTCGGGTTCTTCATTAATCTCCCGAAAATCCAAAAAGCAAGCTATCGTATCTCGATCCGGCTACGAAGCTGAATACGGAGCTCTTGCTCACGCCACTTGTGAATTACGGTGGCTCCTTTACCTTCTGCGGGATCTTCGAATCTCCAACTTAACTCCTGCGTTGTTGTTTTGTGACAATACCTCTACTCTTCACATTGCTTGCTAACCCGAGTGTTCCATGAACGCACCAAACACATCTAGCTTGATTGCCACATTGTTCGTGAAAAACTTCAGTCGACATAATCAAGCTTCTCGCGATCCACTTCCATTCATCAGTGGTCGATTGTTTCACCAAAGCCTTGCCCATTGCTCTGTTTCATACCTCTGCTTCCAAGTTGGGCATTCACGATGTGTATGCTCCACCTTGAAGGGGGTATCACGGATTATTTATCACAAATATCAAATAGAAGCATTAGTTATATTACGTTAGATGGATTAACTTGTTAGTTGGTAAGTTTGTTAGATTAGTTTGTCGGTTACTTTGCTTAGCTAGAATATGCTTTCTTGCGATCCTTTAACTTAGTCGGCATCTTGTATAAATAGACTTTCTCCGTTCGATAAAGAACAATTCATGCCATTTTCATGTTACAACACTTGCATTTCTTCGCTAGTTACGTGATGCCATTCTCAACAATCGCCGAGTACTCTTTGAATCGAAGAAAATTTTCCATCAACATGCTCCGATGGTCATAATGACCATCAAAACATGGAATAGCGAGTCTGCACAAAATTATTGTCGGTAGCCATTTAAAAATATTCTCACAGGTGTTAAGAAATGTAGTTACTTGCTGCACACTCTCTTAACTCTCCCTATTGCCAGCTACGATACCAATCGTTAAATATAAAGCTGACAAAACGAGAGGAGAAACAAAGATATAGAAGTAAAAGTTCTCTCTTAATCATTTATTGAATATGTGATTGCCTTTTTTATACATAAAAGTTTGCTAAAATAGGCTACGATCGAAAATGAATAACTCGGCAACTAACCACCTAAATAGGTGTAGTTTGTTATTTGACTAATAACCGCAAATAAAACAATAGGTTTAAACATAAAACACATGTTATGTGACATGACGAGTCCGAATCATTCTTCAACAACCTCTATTTTAAATTTGATGATTCTTGTCTTCAACGTCTTCATTCTCTCGCCCTTTATCCTATATACTAAAGCAAAATGGTCTTTCAACTGTAGCAATGAACAATGTAAATCACTCGTTCACTTGCTTACGGTGTTTTTTTTAATTTTCATTAGTTTTTTTGCCTAGACCCGTTGCCCCCTAACAATTCGTTTACTATTCATTTGAACGATGAACGCTTCGCTCTCCTTTTTTTTTGTAAACATCTAAATTTTTTAAAAAAAAATTCCATCCATTCATTGTTCGGATGAACGATGAATTGCTAACACCCTTTTTTTTCTAAACATTGAATTTTTTTTTTATTTCGTTTCTTAATAGAAAATTTTAAAAGAACCAACAATTAATTGGGTGTTAAAATTTTAAAGAAACCAACAATTTATTTCCTTTATTATTTATTTTTAAAATTTTAAAAAAAATAAGAAATAGTTAAATACAAAATTTTTTATTAAAAAATTATAATTATTTTTTACCATAAAACAGATTATTAAATTGAAATAATTTTTCTAAACGATTTTATATATTTTATCCAACCCGCGACATAGAGTAGGTAAAAAATCTAATATTATATACTAAAGAAAAACCATTTTTCATTGTAGCAATGAACAGTGTTAATAACTCGTTCATTGCTATATTACTTTGGTTTTTTTTGTTTCTTAAGTTTTCATTTTTTTTTCCAGCGCCACTGGCCTTCCCCTCTTTTTTTATTAGTTTATTGTTCATTTGAATGGTAAACGGCTTGCCCTCTTTTTTTTTCTCTAAACACTATTTTTTTTTAATTTCCGTTCGTTTACTATTCACATGAACAGATAAACGATTGGCCTCCTTTTTTTTTTCCTAAACATTGAATTTTTTTTTAATTTTAATTTCTTAATAATATTAGGTGTTAAAATTTTAAAAGAACTAACAATTAATTGGGTGTTGAAATTTTAAAGAAATCAATAATTTATTTGCTTTATTATTTATTTCTAAAATTGAAAAACACAAATAAGAAATAGTTAAATATAAATTTTTTTCATTTAAAAATTATAATTATTTTTTTATGATAAAATAGATTATTAAATTGAAATAATTTTTTTATATGATTTTATATATTTTATCCAATCCGCAACGTAGCACGGATAAAAAATCTAATAAAAACTAAAAATAAAATAAAATAAACCCTACGTCAACAAGCTTTAGCTGGATAAACAAACTACGGGGTGAAGACACCAAAACAAGGATGGATTACGTACTAAGTTTTAAAACTTTTGTTATTTCGAGACAAGGATAAAATTTGGTGTTTTTGTTGGATGATTTTTTTCTATCGAAATGCGTTTGCATTGATTTTTTTCCAGTGAAAGGGATGAATGGAAAATTTATCTAGTAAATACTTCTATTAACTTTCGTTTATACAACTATGTATTCGTTAAATGTACAATTGACACTTAAAAATAAATCATGTATTTTAATACATAAAATAAATTACTACAAATATTCATTTAAACTTTATTGAAAATAAATATAAAGATTTATGGCTAAATAGATCAAACTTTTCATGAATTTTATCGATTTGAAAATATGTCTCTAAACTTATAATTCAGATTTGACATTTCTTGAATTTTTTTAGATTTAGCCTATTTTTTTATTTTCTATTAAAAATAACCATTACATAAATAGTTTCATAATAAAAATCATTTGGTAAGATTTATTTAAAAATTTTTAAAAAATTTGAGATCATTAAGAGTTATTACCTTTTTTCTCTAAATTTTTAATCTTTAGATCAAAAGGAAAATATACTTCTCAATCTTGAAAAATTTTGAGACAAAAAATTTGAGATCATTACGAGTTATTACCTTTTTTATATATTTTTAATCTTTAGAATAAAATGGAAATATACTTCTTGTTCTTGAAAAAATTTGGGATTTATAGATTAGATTTTTTTCCGAGGTGTGCGAATTTTATTTCAAAATATTAAGAATTGAATTTTTAGAAAATGTGACAATCGAAAATCACAAGATTTATTTATTAAAAAAAAAGAGGAGGTCAAAATAAAAAATCAAAATATATTGAAAAAAAAGATAAAAATTTTTAAGTTAAAAAAATATAAAAACTAAATAATTAATTTTTAAAACAAAATAGATTCATAAATTTATTGTTTAAAAAATAATTTTATAATTTACTCAAAAAACTGCCATGAACTAGGCTAATATTTTACAGCGAATAAGCTAGTACAATACAACCAATATTGAGCTTATTATTATTATTATTTGGCATAACACAATTTTAATTAAAAAAAATTTGCTTTTTTTTTAAAAAGAAAATAATGACTCATTTGTCTAAATTCTTTTATAAGCTCACAAGTCTAAATCTTTAAACCAAAAACATATGATTTTTTTATATAAATAACCGAAAATATATCATTAGATACAGAAAGGAACACACAATTTGTCAATAATAAGATAGTTAAGTTACTAACATTTGTATATTTTTTATCTGTTTAAGTTAAAAACAAGCATGTTCCATCAACCCCAAAAAAAAATAATAATAAAAAATAAATAAATAAATAAAACATAAGAAGGGTATCATCGACAAACCGTAGTACTGAAAAAACGCCGACGTATCACCGTAACAGTATTACACTGAGGATGACTGTAAGCAAAAATCGCAACTTTTCAATGCTCCTCAGATGCTTATTCGCTTTCCTAGCCGGTTCCAAACCCCGACCCGAACCAACCCGTTTTGTTCAATCCTTAGATCTCTCCCCTCCAAAACTGTTAAACCTTCAAAAACCCTAAAAATGGCAGCAACCCAATTGAAATCCAAGCGACCCACATGCCCATCTTGCTCCAAACCCGCAAGTCTCTGCCTTTGCATTCGGATCCAGAATCCGGGTCTTCAAAACAAGGTAAACATCACCATTCTCCAACACAGTTTAGAGAGAAAACACCCCCTTAATTCTGCAAGAATTGCAAAACTAGGGCTTAAAAATGTCACTGTAAGCACTGTTTCTGATGTTAAATTTGATGCCAAGTTCACGATCCATTTGCTTGACCCGGGTCATGATTTGGGTTCGGGTCAAAATGGAGAAAAAAGTTCAGATTTTTATCAAGTTATGGATGATAAAGTCGATGAATTTCATGCTAATCATGTAATTGAAGGTAGGAAAGAGCCAGTGATTACTTTTAGTATAGGTAAATATGGAGTTGTTACTGATATTGGTATTGGCAATGTATGGATGCCTCATGTTCAGTGGAAAAGAAGGCTAAGTTTTGATAAGATTTTGGCCTCAAAAGTGGCTGTTGATGATTTGGAGAAAGGTTTTGTTGTTAAAAAGCTGCAAAAGAAAAGGGTTAATGGGAGTGAAGAATTGGAAGAGTTGGAAGAGTTTGAAGTTGTGGTGCTTCCAGGTTCAGTGCTTTTATTTCCTAGTAAGAATGGATTTGATATTGATGGTCTTAAAGCAATGAACTTTGAAGTGAAGAATTTGATTGTATTGGATGGGACATGGTCAAAGGCAAGGAGAATGTTTTGTGAGAATCCTTGGTTGAGGTTTTTGCCACATTTGAAGTTGGATTTGGATAAGTTAAGTTTGTATAGTGAGATTAGACATCAGCCAAAAGCTGGTTATTTGTCTACTATTGAGAGCATTGTTTATGCGTTGGAGGAAATAGGAGATTATCCTGAAGGGTTGGATGATCTTTTGGGTGTTTTTGAGTCGATGGTTGTTGATCAAAGACGATTTAAAGATGAGAGGCTGAGCAAGCTTTCTTCTGCATAATGATTCTACTTGCTATTGTAATTTTATCTTATTTATTCATTACAATTTTGATATGGAAGTGACTTCCTTGACTTTTGAATATCTAAACACGCATTGCTTCGAGTTGAGACTTGAGATGCTTCATTGTATCTATTATCTATCTTGATTTATGTTGACTTATGCATTCAGATTTGCTGTTTTATAGACTATAGACAGTTGATGTGGCTTAGGGAAATTTGATCATTATGCATGGACCTTTGATCTTCTCGATATTACTCTGAGAAAAGATATACAGTCTGTTCAATCAATTTCTAGTTACACTGGATGTGCGAGCATGATGATGATCAAACCCTGCAAAATTTTCAGCATTTATGAATTCTGAAGCAAAAATTAATTGTCCCTAGTCATTACAGATGCAGAGAACACTAGATGAGTAAGATAGATGGCAAAATAGATTGCTTTATTTAATCATCTTCTAGATAGTGCCAGAATAGCAAGAGTGTAAGCAAAGGAATATACAGAATTGAATTGTATCTTTAGAACATTGTGATTTAGGTTGCAGATTTTGAGTCTCGTTATTCTTAGTGTGCTCTTAGTTGCAAGGTACTTGAACTTCATTCTACAATTGTTTCTTCATCAATGAAATTCACGTTCTCGTTTATTCTAAATTTTGTAGTAACATGAAGTTCATGTAATCTTCCACAAAAAGCATGCATTAATTTGACGTAGCAAAGATAAGCTCTTTATGGTTAACAGCTTAGCTACAACATGGGTTGATCCAAGAAGCTAAACCTTTTTCACATTAAACATTTAGAATGGCAATCGTGCAGGATAGATGAATCGGTCAATGGATCTTAGAGGATTGCAACACTTGGAGAAGAATAGGCAGAGTAGTTGCTAGTCAAGGCATTAACAAAGGCGGGAAATTAGTTAGTTAGACTGTAGCTATAAATTTAGCAACTGTTATTATCCTACTGTAAACATTCAGTTATTGTGCTTTTCTCTATTTCTACTCTTCTCTTTCCTGGTGTACTTTTAATTCATCAAACAACGGATATTCATGATATCAAAACCTCTACTGAAAAGCTTGATTTGCTGATGTTATGCTTCAAAACTGATTTTCGTTGGATTTCCTTTCTAGTTTACTCCCTTTGAAAATCTCTCTCTCGAGTGATAAAAAATCAAGTAAATACAATCGAGGACTGATGTCATTCACTATCTTGGCAAGAAAATCTTGAACAAACGAGCCAGTGCCTGACAGGGTTGCCATGAAGTTAAGGTCTCTGCCCTAAAGATGACTTTCTGCTAGCCATCTTACATGGGAATTGGATTTCTTTCTTTACGGGAGGACTGGTAACTATACTTAAATATTAATTTTAGTAGGCGGATTAGCAGTATAAGAGACGGTAGAGTCTTCCTTTCTAGACTTTTTTGGTTTAATTGATATCTGATTTCCAACCCTTTTTCAGTTAACTAATCTGCTTTCATATAGATAGCTTGGTTTTTCTGAAAACTAACATGAATATGCTTTTTGTTTTCTAAAGCTTGGTCTCTCCTTACTACTGGTGATTAATATTTTTGATATAACAAGGACATGAGAGATTACTGCTTATGACGCCATTTGGATTAGTTGGCATGCTCTTGCAGACAAGCTAAATAACCTGCCACTATGAATAAATTGTGTAGTTCTTCACTTAATTAGAGTAAATACAATTTCTTCTGCAATTTCAATTTCAGTCTCCGATTTAAATATGCTATCCCCATTTGGTAAATAATTGCTTCTATCGAAATAAATAGAGATGTTTTGTTAGCAATTGGGAACCCATCTATAAGAACTAACCTGATGGTGGCTGATTTTGCAGAAACAAAATGTATTTACTGTAATGAAGTGAAGGACTGTATTTGTATCCATAATGGTAGTTGCCAACTAACCCAGAAGATGCCACAATCAGTAATGAGAGGCTAAGCTTTAGGAAAAAAGATGAAAGGTCAAATGTTAGCTTTCAGAAAATGTAGCAATTTATGGTAAAAGTTAATTCTCCGTTAAAGTTACAAGACTTTAAAGAACAACCACGCTTAAATCCTAAACTTGTTGGGGTCGGCTACAGTTTCTGACTGAGGCTTGGTTGTTGTTGTTGTTGTTAATTTACTATAATATTAGGTTAACCAAACTAAAGGAAGACTCCTTCTCTCGTACTTTCATCCAAAAGACTGTAACCAAACGATAATATAGATTGAAATTGACACTCGTAAAATATGCGTAATAGGGATTGGGATGGACATACAGTTGGAATTAATTTTGAAGTCTAGAATAATGTAAAAAAATGTTTTCCAATGGTCTTTTTGGTTCCTTTAGGTGCATGTGTGTTAATTCTATCGAATTATCCTTAAACTAGTATAAATATATGTTTTGAAAGAGTTGTAACCTAAGTACAAGTTCATGGTTCTTCCTCTCGTATGAGAGTAATATGTTATAAGAATGAGATGTGTTTCCACCATGCTTTCTTCCCTCCTTTCTCCTCCCCCAATTCTTTCCAACACGTGCCACCAGCAATAACAGATGAATCAGGGAGTCTTTTCCCCTTAAAGAAAGCATAATATGTTGTTTCAGTTGATTATCTTGATTCTTTTAGAAGGAAGATGTGATTCTTATTGTTATTTCAAATATCTGGGTGTTCATAATTATGGCTTTGGGAACCTGTACATAAGAGATAGCTTTTTATTGGTTATCAAAGATATGCAAGATCTCATCCCTATCGGTGTCTATAATTTGGATGTTTAAATTCTGTGTATTATATATTAATCTACTTTATCTGCTAGATACTAGAATGGCTTTTGTAGGAGCATTTGCAGGACTTCGATGAAATAGATTTCTCCATGCCTATAGCTGTTATATGCCAATTGTTGTATTCCCAAACTGCACTGCTGAAGGCACATGGACGAGGATGCCAGAATAATAAGGCATGGCCTAAACTCAAGTTTAGGTTTAAACTTGAGTTTTTTTTTTTTTTTTTTTTGCCTTTCTGAGTAATGTAATTTTATCGAAATTTTCTTCCCAGATTCATTTTCCAAAAAGGTTCAACCATTTTTGCTTGAGATTGCTTGAGATTTTTTGGGAAATGAATTTGGCAAGATTAGCATTGTTTTTTTTTTTTTTTTTTTTTGTGTGTTTTCTTCTGGGCAGCAGGTGTTGGCGTTGATGAGTGCTGGATTAATGGTCTTTTCAGAACTTCCCTTTGTGCTCTGACCTGGTGCTTTTACTTTCTAGGAATGGTGTTGACAGGAGGGGACTGATATAGGAATCTTCGGTAATTGAGCTAGGCGACTGACTGATTGATCCATCGTATCATCTTTGAGTTTATGGCATCAACATTTGCGCTTGTTATGTTCAAAACAGAAGGAATGAAAGAAAAGTTTGATTCTTTTGGATTCTAGAGTTGGGTGTGTTTGATTTTTGAATATTGTCTTGCAAATCAATGAATGATGACTAATATAAGAACATTGTCTTCCTGGAGTATTGACTGTTTACTGAGCTTGAAGAGTGTTTATGTTCATGGTTTGATTGAGAAAAGAATAGGTAAAGACTGATTTAAATCATTAAAATTAAAGAAGATAAAAGAAAACAGAAAAGAGAAGTTGCATGATTTGCTTTTATGTGCCATTTCCAGATAAATTTGTTTAAAAATAACCAATAAAAAGCGTGAAAAATATTAAAACGAAAATACCCCCAAGCTTCCTTATAAATTCTCAAGAGCATCTCTTGCCCCAGAACCAGCAGTGCCAGTTGACCTTGCGTTGCACCAAATGCTAGGAAAGCTCCTTTCTTTCTCTCACAAAACCCTAAACCAAAACCCTAAATCACTATCTCTTCGCATTTCTCACTTACTAAACCACACTCTCTCTCAAGACCCACATGACCCACCATTTTCTCCCATCAGAAAACCCAAACCCAAACCCAAGAACACCACCAAACCTAAAGAACCATCGGAGCCGAATAAAAACCCGAAACTCCCAGTAAAATCAGACCTTCCATTTGACTTCAGACACTCATATTCTGAGTCAAATCCTGCAATTGAGCCAATTGGGTATCGTGAACCGAAACGGTTTTCTCCATTCGGACCCGGTCGGCTTGATAGGAAATGGACTGGTACTGCTGCTCTGACCCAGTTGGAGGCGGACATGGAGAAGGTAATGGAGGAGAGGAATCGGGTACTTGGGGACCCACCTACGGAGGAGGAGGTGGCGGAGCTTGTGGAGCGGTATCGCCATAGTGATTGCTCTAGGCAAATCAATTTAGGTAATTTATTGCATGAAAATGACATGTCGTATATTATATACCAAATGACTTGTCGTTTGAATCATTTGCTTGTTTATCTTGGTGGTAGGGAAGGAAGGGGTTACTCACAATATGTTGGATGATATTCACAATCATTGGAAGAGAGCTGAAGCTGTGAGAATCAAGTGTTTGGGAGTGCCAACTGTTGATATGGACAATGTTTGTTTTCATCTTGAGGTATTGAGCTAAATAAAAAGTCTTAAGAACTTTATTTTGTTTTATTTTATAATGTTGGAGTTAGTTGCATCAATCAATCAGACAGTTTTGATCCAAGTGAACCCGGCCTGAGTTATAGTTTTTGATGTTTATTAGCTGATGTAGATGATAGTGTTTTTTGTAGGATAAATCTGGTGGGAAGATTATCTATAGGGACATCAATATCCTTATTTTGTATCGGGGTCGAAACTATAATCCTAAGAACAGGCCTGTTGTTCCTCTCATGTTGTGGAAACCTTATGCCCCAATATATCCCAAGCTTGTCAAGAACGTGGCCGATGGTTTGACATTTGAAGAGACGAAAGAAATGAGAAATAGAGGATTGAATTGTGTGCCCTTGATGAAACTTAGTAAGTGAAATGTATTGGCTAGGGTTGGATAGTTTGCTGCTTAAATAAATTTGAAGGTGATTGAAAGTGGAGGGTATGTTGGTGGTGTTAACTTTGGATGCTGTGAATTTGTGTTCAGCCAGGAATGGTGTGTATGTGAATGTGGTTGCGACGGTGAGGGATGCTTTCGAGACCGAGGAGGTTGTGAGACTAGACTGCAAACATGTGGGTATGAGTGACTGCAAAAGGATTGGTTTGAAACTGAAGGTATGAGTATGACTCAAAACATTACATTTTGTTATTTATGGGATTGTGCATGAGTGTCTCACTCGACCTTTTACTCCCTAAAATGCAGGATTTGGTACCTTGTGTTCCTATTTTATTCAAGGAAGAGCAGATTATTCTCTGGAGGGGCAGGAGAGATCAAGAACATGAACCATAACTGCTTGAGCACAAACTTTAGATACGTGACTAGGCGGTCTTTTCGGCAATCCAGGGTTGCTGCTTGGAAAATTTTCAATCAGCTGCAGATTGGAGTTTGCTTGTTCTCTATATGCACTCGGCTGGTTGAGACAGCATGGATTGGCTTACCTAATCAAACCAACAACATATCATCCCTCGTTACGTGATAGATTGGAATGCCAAAAGGTCCATCCAGTACCTAGCTACCTCCTTTGCCTAAAGGAGACTAGTGTTTCCCATTTGGTTAAAATTGACAACCTGTTAGATTACAATTGAGACCTACTTTGTACACTCTTTATCACATTGCAAGAATCGTGTATTTTCTTGTTCGAAATTGTATTTAAAACTCCTTTGGGTTCAAATCGGAATATCGTTTGTTTTTTCTATATCTGGAATTATGATCATGTGCAATGCCATCTTAGTTGGAAAGACAGTTGAGACAGAACTAAGAACTTTCAGGTTCTTATTGTCTGTTTATCCTATTCTAGCTTGATTCTACATTCTTGATACTTGAGGATATCCAATGGCACAAAAAAATGAGTCACGACATGCTTAGACGTACAAGAAATTGGCTATAGCCCGTTAGTGGAGCAGCCAACACACTTATTTCGTACGATAGCGAAGGATTTTGGACTACAGCACCGAAAAGGTTCTTTTCTGTTTTATGAGCTCATTCTTTTTTCGTTTTTGGTAGGATTGTTAGTTTTTTTATTACATCGAGGAAGGAGTGCTTTCTGTTCATAGAGGCTTTTTTAGCTGAAGGAAGTTCATACGCTTACCTTTTATTCGGATCCCAACGGAATTCGAACGCAAGATTTCTAAGTCAGAATTGCAATCTCAAACCCTTGGAGCATTTCCCCAAGAACGTTTGAAATTTTAATGGAAAAAATAACGTTGCAGTTAATCCCATTTTTAGACAGTCGCACCTGCCAGGCGAATCAATAGCTCTTCATTGAAATGTTTGACCATTATTTCAGGATCAAGAATGCTGTTTTCCAAAAACCAGATCACCGTTTCATAGCTCTTCCACCTGAATCCACCAATCTAGGAGAAAATAAATCTTTTGTATTCATTTCGGGCACCAAACTCTTGAAATTATATGTGGAGTAACCATCATTCTTTTTTTAACTCTTGGCCCATTAGTGCTTTAGCAAGTAAAGGTATCTGAAACTGAAAGGCCATCTACTAACCAACCAACACAAGAAGAGCATCATCCTTAGGTGAACCAACTTAAAATTATCTTTCGTAAGAAACAAGAGAAATACACAACAGCTAGTATCCCTAACTACATTCAACTCCAGTCAGTCGCACATGGACAACAGAGATCGAACAGAGCAGAGGTGATGGCTTAATTTTATCTATTTGACTGAGATAAACATAGTAGATTGTATCACGGCTATTTACATTGACCTCGCTAGAGTTGAGTTTCATCCAATTTTAGCGTAACAGGAACTGAGAGTTTGAGCATCAAGGTCCCATGAGAATCTTTCTCAGTTCATGTTTCTTTTCAGCAACACATCCAGAATTCACCAATGAAGTTATCCAGACCTGATCTGATCTAACAGACTCATCGTCATCATTCCTGTGCCAACTCCAGTAGGCATGAGTTGAATTCACTAATTTGAGCTCGCCATGGCCAAAACTTGCTTCACGGAAGACTGACCAAGCTGGCTGTGGGTCTTTGTATCTGTCAATAATATAAAGAATATTATAGATTGAGATTAATTAGATAACAAGCAAGCCAAAGAACTACTAATTTCAAAAACATTATTTTCAATATTTGGTCCTATAAAAGTTTACTCGCAACAGAAAGTTGTCGAAGTGAGGACATACTTGCGGGCTAAACCTTCTTTGTTTCCTCCATCTCCAATTGTAATATGGACTGCACCACATGGATCCAATTTTCCATTGTTTACGCGTTCCTATCAAAAAGAATACCAGATAATACAGTCAATGTTTCATGAAAATAAGAATGACAGAAAAGGTAAAAGCATAAGCAGACACGAATGTCAGAAAAAAGAAAATAAGAAATCAAATAGGAAAAATAGACTCCTAAACATTTTCTTGTTTATATGTAACCCTGAAAACTAATTTTTGGGAGTTATCTTTTCGGTCAATGTAAACCATCAAAGACACATGCTTCACTTTTGATGACACAAAATTACAGAGAAGTCTATATATGCTAAGTTCAATGAAAATAATGCATTTAGTGGAAGATTCTCTGCAAGAGAATTTGACCAGCAAAACTATAAAGGAATGCAAATTGAAACTTTATAGTTAATGGAACTAAGTCAAAACACAAATACGTCGGGAGGTATCCCTGGATCTCTGCTTCAAAGAAAATTCTACATCATACCGAGCGTTCATAAGCATGCACATGGCCAGCTAGCATGATATCCACACTAGCAGCGTAAAGTAATGGCTCCATAGCTGCCATCATTCTGTCCCCTTCGTCTCGATGAGCCTCATTGCTATTATACCATGGGACGTGGAATAGTACGAGCAGCCAAGGTGTCTTCTTCCGGTTCACCTTTGCAAGATCAGCCTGTAGATCAATAAATATTAAATTCCTGATATTAGAAGCAGCTAACATATTCTTTATTTCTTATGGAGCTTTAAAGAAGGGAGGACAGGAGAACAAATACGACAGCTATCATGTATGCTCATGATAAGATGGAACTTGAAGCATTTTGCGTTAACTTCTCAAGGGCCTAGTGCATGATGGGACCACTAATATTCTGCACCTTAATATCTACAAATTCCAATACGATACAGGCATACGATGACAAGACAATATTGGCAGTATGCAATACAGTTTCACATCTTTATGGATATTGCTTTCCAAGTATTACAAATCAACTAGTCCCAGTAAACATTAAGGTAATTGAAGGAAGGACAACAGTACGTTTTGCAGTATTTCAAAATGCCCTCGATTACTAACAAAACAAAAGAACACATACAGCCAGAAGCATGGAGTCGCCAACATGCTGTATGACAAGTGCAAAAGAACAACACAGATATATCCATCAAACAATTATTTCCCTAATTTCATGTCAAGTAATCTCTTGATAAATTCACATTTTCTTACCAGTTTATCGAGCCATTTTGTTAATAAACTACTATTTGAAACTTAATACAGAAAAGGAAAGAAGATCGCATTGGAAAAGGATAAAAATAACTAACCTTGAGCCAGTTATATTGATCTGAGTACTCATCATAATCAGTATATGAGCCAAGCATAACAATGTGAGCCCCAGCAACTTCAAAAGAATAATAAAGATTTGAACTTGATCCGCTCTCCTCAAATGGCATCTTCCATCTAGAATTGTAGGATTCAAAACCATCCTTAAAGAATATAATGCTTTCCTTTTCATGATTTCCCTGTGTAACCATCCACGGTCTTGCACTGGCAAGTGGCTCAACCAGCTCACCAAATGTGTCCCAGCGGTGCTGTATGTAATCAGCGTATGAAAGGTCTCCAGGAAGCAGGTGCACGTCATATTTGCATAGGTCAATATGAGCTAGTGTCGATTTAGTCCAGCCAGTTTGGCCTAAATCTCCTGCCACAGCAAAAGTAACTGGGAACTGAGCTGGAGGAGTCTTGAGCTTGTACTCAGGACCTTCTCCTCCACATCGATAGTAATAAACCGTGTTATTTTCCAGTGGCCCAATGACTGTGTGGTGTATCTTTCCAGAGCTATAAAATAGATAATTATACGACGTGCTCTCTCCTTGAGACCTACTGCTGTATCTTCCAGGAGAAGTTCCATATTCAACCATGGATGGAGCAGATTTATCATTAGTGACCCATGAGATTCGCATGTGCTTGTCTCCAGCCAAAGAAGTGTGGACCTACAATATGCATACGTGGAGAAAAAGCATTTCAAAACCAAATCAGCATCATAAATTACCTTGAAGCCCAGAAAAACTATTATACGAAAACATTTCACAAGAAAAGTATCTCAGGAATCAACTCATCAGGACAAATTCAGCATACAATTAGACTAAACAGATACGTAGCTCCAATTAAAGAATGAAATCATAATTAACATCAAAACAATCAAGAATTCCAATGCAACCAAACAACAATAATCGAACACAATCAAAGTATCATTCTTTATTGATTTTTATCCAATTCTCAAACTATTTTTGCACCAAAGAAACACAACAGAACCCAGATGAAGAAAGCAAGAAAAACCCAGATCAGATCACTGAAAAAGAAACAATCTTTAACACTAATACCAATACAAAACACAGTCTTATCAATAGAACAGAAAGTTAGGTGAAGGTAAATGACAAGATAACCTGTTGGGGATGAGAAGAAGACTTTGAATTCCATGAAAAATGAAGGGTCTTTCGAGGTGGAGGCCTAATGTATTCACTTGTAGCAGTTGCAGAAATTAACAGAAACACAAGTAAAACCAGTTTTGGCTCCATTGTTTGATTTCTAGTTAGTTACTATTATTGTTTCTTGCAGCAAATAAAAGAGAAACGAGAACAGACACTTTATATCATTGTTTTGGTGGAACTGGTAGTAACTAGCCAGGTTTGTCTTGTTTAGATGACAGATTTGCCCTTAATCTAAGGGGCAAGTACATTACAAAAATGGGTCATGTCAGACATAGTTGTCAATGACAACGATTTCTTTCTTGGAAGTATGTTTTTACTTTTTAAAGGGCAGGGGGGATAATGACCAGGGTCCCCGTGGCTCCATGTAAGATTTTTTTTTTCTCTCTCTCTTAATTTGATTACGTATTTTCGAATTAAAGATTATTATTTAAAAAAAAAAAAAAAGAAGAAGATTTTGTTCCGATCGTTCGAGGGTAGTAAGTGAACTGTCTTCATATTTCCACGTGGAGTTTGCATTTAAGAAGAGGTAGCAAGGAAAAAAAAACAGAGAGAAAACTGTAATTTTAGTAATCAATTTTTATTTTTATTTTTTGGTCCGTTCGAGTGCTAAATTGATATTTCTTTTATTTAAATATCTAAGTTTTTTTATTTTTTATAGTTTGGAAATGTTGAAGCGTTCGAAAAAACTGCACTTGGTAGTTTTTTAACTAATTGGTAGAAAGAAATGGATTTTATTTAGATTATTAAAAAAAATACAATTTGAATACTTAATTTTTTATTGTTTTTCTATTCGACGATCCAATGTTTGAATTTTTTTCAATTTAAGTTCCCTTGATTGCTTAAAATTGGAAATATTGGCGTGAGTATATAAGGTTTATTGACACATGACAATTTTAACTGACACATTGCCAAAAAAAATCTCACTCATTTGTTGAGAAAAAATAAAAAAAATTATAGAACTTTTATAATAAAAAAAAAATTAAAATCAATTACTATTAGTCTAATGAACTTGAATTGTGTGGATGATCTATGGTTGAAACTCTTGGATTAAACAAATTAAATATTTAGATAATAATATCTTGAAAATATTTTTAAAAACTAGTTAGTAAATTTGTCAAGTTCATTTAATTGATATTGATTTTTTTAATTATTTCTAGCTATTTTTTATAAAAGTTTTTTATTTTATTATTTTTTTCAATAAATTCGAATGGAACCTATTTTTTTGCAACGTATAAATTACAGATCATTGTATATTAATAGATTCCGATTACATCAGTATTCTTTACTTTTAGGTGAATACGAAAACTTAAGTAAAAAAAAAAACATTGAGCACTTAAATTATAGTTTTTCTCTTAAAAAAATAAAAATTGGATTTGTTTTAATATTTCAAGTGGGACATATTTTTCTAGATATATCACTTGAAAACTATCATGTGACAGTTCATTCTAAACACATTAATATTTTTCAATTTCAAATGATTGTGGACACTTAAGAATAGAAAAAAAAATGGACAGTCAAATAAAAAAAATTACCAATTAAATACTCAAACAAAAAAAAAATGGACATTCAAATACAGTTTTCTAAAAAAAAAAAAAAACAATTATTATGAGCAAATTTGGTATAGATAATCTAGGAAGAGATTGAATTAATGTGTGAAAACTAATTCGAGTTTACATTTTGTAATTAAGTTGATGGTTAATCTAAAACAGGTTCAAGAATCTAAATTTGTTAAAGCATAATATTTTATTCATTAATTACTACGTGCAGCCCTACATTGGTGAAGCTGTACAGTCATCCTATGAGTTTTTTAACTTCAAATTAAATATTAATTTTTTTTCAACCACAAATATGTTTAAGATTTGTTTTGAAAACTACATTTTCAACTAAAAAATATATGTTTTTTTTTAAAAACAGTCCTTTTCAGGTTTCCTCAACAAATATGTGTTTAGTGTTTGATAAATGGGAATTAATTTTATTTATCATTTTTATTAGGACACACCATTCCATTAATCGCTTAATTAATTGAATAGAGTCTTCTATAACTTTTCCATTAAAAAAACGAGTACATTTTCAACCAAATAGGCGTTTAAAAAAAAACTCTTTTAGGATTTTCTCAACAAATAAGTGTTTAATTTTTGATAAATGAGAATTAGTTTCATTTATTCTTTTTAATAAAATACATAATTCCATTAAAAAAAAACAAATACAGTTAACCACCAAGGTTCCTTCTTCCTTGAACATGATTAATTTAATTGAGCAATGATTATAATATTAATTATATCACATGGATTCACAAAATGAATCAATGATGATAATAATTACATTAGAATCAATTAATAGTACAAAGTTTGGATCAACAAAATTACTCTTCATTTATTTATCCACTAAAATTGGATGGATGTTTGGTACACAAAATTATTTAAATTTTCAAGTAGATGTGAATGAATTGACCTTTTTGAAACTGACATTTTCTTTCTTCCTCTCTACCGGACTTTGTCTCTCTCGTGTTCCATCTAACAGCTATTTTTAATCACTTCTTTGGAGATTTATTACTCATGACCTAGTTTAAGATTTGAACATATCCCATCAACAATTAAGCCAACAACTCACTCAATAATCAAAGTTAGATTTTCTCTCATTCTCAAAAAAAAAAAAAAAAAAAAAAGGGTAAGATTTGCTCTTAATCTCCAAGGTAGATGGTTAACAGAAATTATTTTAGCATTATGGTCATACCAAACATGTGAACTCGACAATGATTTAATGTTGGTATGTTTGTCCATTTTCGAGAGAGAAATCGTCTGTACCTTTATCTCATTGACACATCAGATTGATGGTAATAAATAAAGTAACATGAATAACCTAGTTTGTTCGTTTGTTGATTACATTAGGATGGCACCAAAATGAAATCTTGTTGGCCACCGTCTCAACAATAATTTAGACATTTCAATGATTATCTTAGAGAAATTTTATTATACACAAGCAGTAATTAATGATATATACGAGTAGTTATTTTTTAGATTCATTTTGAGGAGAGAGAAAATAAAAAAATTTGAGCGGATGTGTAAATCTTCTTATCACTTTTGGTGGATATAGATGTAATTTCTCTATTTTTTTATATGTCTATCTCTCTCGCTTAAAGTAGGTCCAAAGATTAACTATTGTACATGTCACTAGTTACCCTTTATGTATTATAAAATTTTCTATTATCTTGTATATTAATTGATATTAAATGTATTTTTTGAATTATTTTAATGATATTTTCGTATCATATGATGTATTTAGAAGAATAAATTTTATTGAATATTATTTTTAAAATTCAAACTTAAAAAATCAAGAAATAAACACACTTTTTTTTTTTTTTTGTACCACCAACCGCATCCTGGAGTTATTGGAACTGAATTATAAAATAGTTGGTCCATTTCCCTTCTGTTTTTAGTCCGAGGAAGATCTAGTCTCAGACTTGTACCAGATTATGTTCCTGAAAGCCCCTTTCATCTTCAACTTATGCGAAGAGTGGAGATTTAGAAGATGTAATATGTAGTCCGAGATTCCTTTCGAGGTTTCCTGAGATAAAAAATTGCCAACCACACTTGATGGATAATTTGAAAAAGAAAATAAATAAATACACGATAATGGCTATTTGCATTCTCCATAATTTGATAGGAAAAACATAATGCATAACCCCAGTATTTTTTTTTAATTTTATTATAAAAAATAAAATAAAAAACCCTTATCCGCATATTGTTGCCAATTAAACTATAAGTTTGATTGAAAAAAAAAATTTTAAGCAATTTCCGATATTCTTTGAGTGGAATTCATTTTGCATAGTGGAATTGGAGAGATTTTTAGGTTCATTAGCGGCCAAGTACTGATCAATGAACTTGACAAGTAAATGTGAATCTGCGTTGGACAACCTTTTTGGCTCTTTGTTAAGATATCAAACCGCTTGAGCTATTAACTTTTTAACAGATCAAGGAACGGCTTTGTCTTGAATCCACTCATCCAAAATTCACATTTCCTGTTAAAGTAAATTCATTAAAATCCAGCACAAGCTTGAAAAGGCCAGACTTCATGCATCGTCATGATTTCCCTTGTTAGATAGCACATCCCTTCTTCCATTGTTTAGAAAGAAAAACATTGCTGACCCAAATCTATGTCGACAGACAAATAGATAAAAGAGGCGAAAGGACCAGTACATCTAATAAAATCTCTTCCGCACCAAATGGTTAAAGTGCATGAGCAAATAATTCTAACCAAAATACAGTTTTTATGTACAATAAAAATTTGTATTTTCAAAGGATATCGGAGGGGTTTGCAGTTATTGTGGAAATTCCATTTTTCTTATAATTAGTATCATTTTTAGAAAGGTAGGAAAGATTAAAAGAAAATCATGTATTGTTACAGGTAAATTCATTGCACGTAAAATAAAAAATATTCCTATGACTCATAGGATAGCATCGGATAGTTTTAAATAACAATCGTTAAGTAACGATTATAAAGCATGTTATTATCATTATTTTAGTATTATAGTAAATCGTAATTCGCAATGACAATCGTGATCATTTCAATCGTCCATGATTTAAAACTATGGCATCAACTATTGGAGTGAGCCAGCCTTTTCCTTAGAATCATGCCATGCTTCTTTCTCCGAATCGGTTCCTAGTGTCAGTCAATCAAGATTCGCCATCTAGAGCGGGAAGAGTTGTGCAAAATTCTAAGGAAAGAATCGGACAAGGAAGCAGTTCGAAATAAGATGGCCGAAGGCTTGCGCAAAGGGTTCTTGCTGGTTCGCTCTTCATCACTTTTCGCAACTACGGATCTTTTTATTCCCTTCCTCCGCTCGAACCAACAATTCCATCACTGCCTCCAGTAGGTGCGCGGATAGCTCTGTTGATTTCATTATCTATTCAATCTCTATCGAGCTTAGCCCAGTCTACCAAATTCAAAAATATAAATATCCGTTTTTCTTGGCGATAAAATGATTCTGCTAAAAAGCGATTTGAACTTTAGAAAACCAAAATAGCAGCCAACATCAGCACGAGTCACCTTTCTATTCCCAAGTCATGCAAGAAAAAGCTGATATTGATAGAAGAACCGGTGTCTAATTTTGACATAGAAGGGTCCGCTATCTTTCAGCCCCTTGTAATAGCACATCATGCGCAGAGAATGAGATCACCCTGGGCTTTAGCAGCACTGTCCTGGGTATATCTCCTTTAGGCACCAAATGCTGGGAAAAGAATGCCTCCTCTTCTCCACATTCTATGGCTGCTTGAGGAAGGGCCTTCTCCAAATGCTCTCTGGTTGCCAGGCCTTCGAGATCATGAGCACTTTTGATTTGCTCAAGATAGGAGGGATCTTCTTTAGTTGTGCCACCACGTCATATAGGAACAATTATCTTCAAATGACATACCAGCCACATTTGCATGATGGCCCATGAAGAATGGAATATTGGTTATCCCACAAGCACAACCAGAGAGCCCTTTATACATCTCAACTAGGATCAAAGGTACAATTGTAGTTTTATCCTTTGAGCGGAGACAACTAAAGATCCCCGTCACAACCAGGTCAATGGCTCTGATATCGACACCAATAAAGATTTCCGCAAGCAAACACAGTGGGTAAATCTTGGAGTCGAAACGGAAGTACTGTCATGAGAGAACCTGTCAATTAAAAATCCTGAGTTGTATCGAACTTGTGCCTTTAAGAAAATCATCTCAATTTTGCTATGCGATAGAGACATTTTCACTTTCACGAGATTAATGGACAAAACTGAACTGAATTTACATTTAAAATGAAAGTACATTTGCTTGAGTTATCATTCAGCTTCTGTTATACTCCTTTCCCATTTAAAAAGACCAGAATTCTCTACATCTTGATGTGATAACACCTGCTTATCGTCTAATGATTTATTTCCAAGAACATTTGAGATCGTCACTAGAAGAGATTGACAAGCATGCTGCTCATCCATTTTCTGTGATTCACTCGGTTCAGATGAAAGATCCTTCCATGGTTGGTAAAATGACCTGCACAAAGAATGTGGCTGAGAGATTTAGTTTAAATCGACAACCAAGAGAATATTTATTTTGCAAGAATGATCAAATTCCTTTCAGGAACACATCAAAAGATAAAAGAAGAAACACACTAAACAAATAATATATTACCATCTCCAAGCAGGATTAGCTTCAGTTGGACAACGAATTTTCGACCATAGTGACAGCACAGAAGCCCTATCACCAAGTGCGAAATCTGTTCCAGATTCAAGATGCATCAAGGTTAATGAAACTATCACTGCCCAAGAATACCAGGATAAAAAAACAGAAGGGGGGGGCTGTGGGGCACAACTTCAAAGCTGGAAAAGGCTAACCAAAATCTTGCAGAATTTTAATCAGGGAAGAAAAGCAAAAGCATAAAACCAAGATGCTAGACAGACAAGTCAAACACCAACTAAAGTCGCATACCTGAAAATTTGGAGGTGCCACAAAGAAGTAGAAGAGATAGTGAAGACACAACTGAAGGAAGCACTGTGAAATTCATGCCAAGAAGCTGTTGAAGGTAAAACATTGATGAAGCTAATACCTCTTCACAACCAAATCCCCATCTGTTGACTTCTCCACATCCTTTTTCAACATATTCCAATAAGCTTTGCAAAGTTTTAAAACTTGATTTTTCAGAAAGTTTGGCGTTTACATCATCAAGTTTCCAAGAAAGCTTTCCAAGAATTACAGAAGCAACAAGCCAACGCAGAAGTTTTGATATCAAAGACTCTTCCGATGGTGTTTCCTCCAAGTTGATTGTGAGATTAACACGAGAATCCTTAACATTAAAGATTTGGCTGCAATCAGGTTTCATGGCAGTAGAGATTGCCCACAGAAGGAAACTTGAAAGCTTTTCTTGATTCTGTAAAGGATAGCAAAAAAAGATTTAAAAGATCAATATCAGGCATGAAGGTATTGACAAAACTTAATAAACCTGTGAAAAAAAAAAATGGTAAATGTCTAAACAATTCGTGCAACAATGTAAACCAGCACAGAATGTCAATTCCCTTTGAGAGACCGCTCTGTATATATTCACCGTTCATTTAATTTCATTTTGCTTCCTTTCTTTCTTTTCTTTTCCATTAGCATGTCCCAACAGTAAAACCTACGTTCTTTTCCAGTTCCCCTTTTGTATCCGTATTTTCATTGTCATAACTTGTACCATGCATTGATGAGGGAGACAGAGAGGGAGAGTGAGAGGGGGAGAGGGTGGGGGAAGGAGAGGAGGAGAGGGAGCTATGGAGAGAGGGAGGGATAGAGAGAGAGAGCAAGACCATGTGAAAAATGTCAACTCGAGGAGAACCCATAAGAATTGCTTTAAGCCCAAACTCCGAACTTGCACTAGGTCTTGTGGTATTGAATACATCCAAAGCCTGATAAATTTGGAATAAGCCCTCAAATGTTAGGGTAAAATGTGGCTGGTATATTTTCCTTTTTTGGGATATTTTTAATGTTGTCAGCATTATATGCAGAACTGAATTAACCACTGCGACATTCTCCTTCATCGACTTCGAGCCAGCAACTAGGAGCTTGTAAAGATGAGTTGCAAGTTCCATTAGCTGCTCGAGAGCATAGTTTTGCAACCATTCAACAATGTTTCTGGATGAAACAACATCACTGATAACCTAAATCCAAAGAGAAAGAAGCATCATTCAAACACAGCATCAACACAATAATTTGTCAAAAAAAGCTAGATAAAAAGAAAAGTCGTTCAAACAAAGCATCAGCATAATTTGTCAAACAAACCTAGAGTCCATATTAGCCTATATAACCTTCAAATATGTACAAGTTATTCATAAGCGTATCCCATTTTATTCTTGCCAATATTATTGAAGCAAGTTGTGTCAATAACGGTCTCCTCTTAAGCACTTATAACATTGCAAAAATATTTCATAAAAGTTGTGCCACAAATTGGAGCAATGACAAGATTCCAATGAAGGACTGAAACAATAATAACAATTTTTTTTATCTATAAGAAAGAAGAAAATACTGTAATGTGAACTATAGAATAGAAATATCACAGGGCAGATGGTAAGGTTCAAAAAAGACAACAAATGAAAACTGGTAACTACCTCTATGACAACAGCCAACTGCCTTGAGAAAAATTTTATTTCATTTTCATGCAGCATTGCTTTGTAGACTGAGAGAACAGATGATAACCACGGAAACAGACCACAGTGTTCAACAAGGTAACGAGCCATCCGGTGCAATTTAGCCGACTTCTTCACTGTCTGCAAAACAGATGAGAAAAGGCTCTGTAATCTACCCGAAGAAATCTTGTAAGAAATGTGTCAACTTCAAAGCATGCTACACCAATAAATCCAAATTTTACCAGAAGAATTATTTCTTTTGACTCATTATCTGAAAGAGGAGAAGAATAAAAACTCAATAGAGTCTCAATAGTGGAATTCCTAATAAACGTTTGAGTATCGTCATCTAAATTCAGCCCTCCACATGCTAGGCGAAGCATCCAGAGCCTCTCCATTCTGAAGTTAACTGAGTTACTCTGGAAAAAGACATGAAACAATGGTATGCTCTGCAGTATAAACGAAGTGAAAAGGATGGAGTTAATCACTGTAAGAGCAAACGATAACCACAAACAAAAAGATGTAAATATAAAACAAGCTGAAAAACAACGGAGGAGATACATTTATATCAAGTGAGATTGCTTTGCTCACAGGACAATACCTTCATGTTCACCTTAGATGAATGCATCAAATGCTTGCTTAAGGTTGTATAATGATCATGTGAAGGATCTAACAATATGAAAGATGACTCTGCAGCCAAAAGTGCTATAACAGAAGGAATTCTCTGCCATGGCTCAGAAATTCCATTTTGCAAGTATGTCAACAGGAGACGGAGTCGCATTACATCTTTTTTCTTTTGGCAGTTCTGTGCAAAAAAATTTGAACTTCAAATAAAAAACTGAAGAAAAATTGGCTGTAGAAAAAAAAAATCATGCACCCACGTAAACAAGAAGAATGTGTCACATAACTCAATACCATATTCTATTTTCCATTCCATAAAACAGTCCAGCAACTCTTAACCTTTTCTATTTTCTTCCATCACAACGAATTTACAATTACTATATATAAAAGTTCTGCTTTTCTTTAAAATTTTGTGAAGACAGAAGAATTAGCGTATTTAAAAAATAGCCTAGTATTGAATTATTACGATATCTGGTCATTAGAGTATGGCATAAGAAAAAGCATTTGAATAGTTACAAATTACGATAGAAAACTTTTGGAGTGATTCTTTTCCTACAACAAACGTATGCCTATTTAATTTGTTTTTCTTTTCCCTATTTAAACCTCTCTAAGGTCTACTTTATCTGATGACCCAAAATTTTTTGATAATAAGTAAGACAGGTAAATTTGATTGGTTGAAGTCGTGACATGATACTTCTTGAATTACTCCTTACCAATGAGACATCAACTTTCTAAAATGCATTTAACCCCCACACGAACCTCTTTCCCCATGTTGAAAAACTTCTGGAATTTTCACAACCCTTTTAAGTGATGATAAAAAATATCAGCTCTAACCACTTCCTTTAACATGAGTTCGTTTCACTTTTCCAAATAAGTCACTTCTTATTAGCCATATTTGTCATTTTGTTTACTCAAAAAGTTTCTAAACTTAAACTTAAACATGAATGCTATTGTTTGAACATATACATCACTAAACTATAATAAATCAGATATTATGTTGTAAACCACAAAGAATATAATGCATTGCATGTCTCACAGAAAAATACTGCAGATTAAATGAGCATTCGTCATTCTCAGTGGCATGCCATAAAAATTTTTAGAAAAAACAAGAAATGAAATCTTGACTATTGAATCAAATCACATAATGTACATGCATATGCATGGGAACACATGGACATTAACTCTCTCTCATGCATGCATGAGCATATGCAAGCTCAGCGTGAGCCAGTAACAGCACAGAAAAGAGCATTACCTCTATCACATTCTTATATTTCCCAATTAATTCATAACCCAATTTTCTCATCCCAACATCAGGTGAAGACATGCTAACAAATGCAACCGCAAGCAACCCCAAACCAGCAAACTCCACAGGTTCAATGTAACCCATCGACAAAGCATGAATTGAGAAGCGTAATATGAAAACAGGATCATATCGCTGTATGTTTTCAACAGCAGGAACATGTCTCTGCACACAATACAATAGAGTCAAATAATTCAGATTTGTCAAATCATTCAAAAGCATAAATTCTGATTAATCTGATAAAGTAACATTGATCATACCTCATATATAACCTTAAGATTGTCTAGTTGAAGCCTATCCAAGGATAAAGATCCGTCAGTTACAGTTCTGTCGTAGGGAAAATGTAGCACTGTTGTTACACACATCTTGGGATCAACAGGAAGATTTTCCCTAAATTGACTTCTCCGATGCTCTTTATTAGTCATGACATCATATGTTTCCTGTTCTAGCACCCGTTCTTTGCTTATCTTTAAAGCAGCAGTTCCCCACAGGTAATCCATATCAGCAACATCATCGACAACAGAATTATCAATTGACTCAATCTCAAGCATCAGATTGTATATCTCCAAGTCAGTTTCACTGAGGGTTGCACCATAAGATGATAGAAGCAACAAATGCAATTCTTTAAGATTTATGCCAATATCGTTTTCAGAATCAAAACCGCTCTGATGAGGATTTAATCGAAGTAGTGTTCTAAGTAACTTAACAATTTCCAACTGCTTCATGTGCAGCTCAGTTGTTCGCAAATCATAACTGCTTTTGGTATGAGGGATAACAAGTGATCTCAGAATGCTGGACATGGGCTTAACAAAAGCACCTGTCTGACCACCAAATGATTCAGTGACAGACTGAATGGTAGAAGCAAATTGAGAGTGAGCAACAAGCAGTTGAAGATATAGAGCACGTGAAAATTTTCCCTCTGACAGCAAAACTAAAATGCTGCGAAGAATTTTCAATGTTGTTGGATCCTCAAACCGATAGAGAAGCGAAGATCTCATCAACTGTTCAAGGAAGGGTATGGATTCCAATAGGATAATATCCCCACGCATCTCCATGGTTAATTCAAAAATGGTTCTAAAAATGAACAGTTCCAAGTATCTATATAACTGCAGACAATCGGAGATCTTTTCTTTCACTGAACCATTTGAAACTGAAGGGAATTTCTTAACCATGAATTGCCAAGTATCCACCAAAATCTGTAACAACCTCATCCTTGATCGACCCTCCTTGTTAGAAACCTTTTCTGAAGAAACTTCCTTCAAGTTCTCAACTGCTTCTTTTGGCAGAAAAGCAATCTGATTGTCCTTTGGAAATAACAACATCCGACAAAATGATATTTTTGCAACAACTCTATTAACAAGGTTTAATGACTGGTTACGAGAACAAAATTCCATTTCACCAACATCACAATCTAGCAGCTCAATATGTGTATCAGAACAGGTTACAATGGAATTAAAAAGCTTCAACCGCTCCTTCAATTTCATATCTCCACTTATGGTGAAGTGGTGTCGTAACATACAAATTGCCTTTCCAAGAAGACTACTATCCACAAGATTGAGAAGTTCTTCAATGGATGACGGCAAGAATGCATTATTACTATCCTGAAAAGCATATCCAGATACAAAGCTCTTCCAGTGACGGAAACCATTTAATAGCAATTTTGAGTAGAAAGAAGGTATAATCGTAAACTGCTTGTATTGCTGCTTTTCGAATTTCATGAGAACTGAATTTAAGTATGACAAAGCAGTGGGTAGAAGCATAAGAAAATCCATATTTGAAAGAGCTGAATCAAAAGTCTTTTCCACTTTCATTACATTCAGATTGAAATCTTCATCCAAAATCCCAAAAAATAAATGCCCGAAGACTGACAGATGCAGAGGGCTCATCTCAACAAGAAGAGACAGCAATTTAGCTTTTGTCATGCTTGTACGGTAAATGCATTGAGAAACTATTTCTAGAGGAGTGCTCATTATAATCCTTGACAATACCAAGCTTAATGGATGAAGGATGCCATGTTGCATGTACTTTTGTTTGTAGGCAGCATTAACAGCTTTCAGCAAACAAACATGCACAGAATCATGTTTAAAATCAGTGGCAAACTTACACACTTGAACATAGATCTCCTCAATCAGGTTAAAATCAAAATTTTTCTCTTCCAATTTCCAAAGCATATAAAATGGCATGCTTGTTGTCATAGCTTGCTGCAAATAAGCAGACAAAATGTCAAAAGCATCGCCAGCAATACAAAGACCAACCGAAAGAGCTGATCTCCCGAAACATTTCCGAACATTCAAACCACTCACATCAACCCTACCAAACATCCAATGGACCAATTTGAGAAGCTCAAATGGGGATATAAACCGAATCAAAGCATGCAAAGCATAAAATGATGGGAGAAGGGGCAGTGGATCTTCTGTACTGATGCACTGATCAAACTTGTCCCTAACTTCCAGATATAGCCTCTCAACCAGACTGTTGAAAGCCTTCACAAGTAGTTTTCTAGAACCACCATCAAATTCAAGTGTAGAATGATGCTGCCCACTGGACAGAGGAAGCAACTCGTCAAAAGTTGCTGTTAACATATCCAAGACATGATGATCTATTTTATGAACTGCCTGTCCAGAAAAACAAAGGATTGCCTCCAAACTTTCCCCAAATTTTCCCACAGCGAAATCCCCATTACAACTCAAAGGATGAACCAAAGATGCTAACACTGCAGGATGACAGAAAATGGTCTCAGCCACGTCTCCAACATTATTTGCTGATAAAGGAACCCCTGCATTCATTGGAGAATCAAGCTTCAAAGCCAATGATCGAGAAAGGATGTGCTTCACAAGAACATAGCAAATTTCAGCAAGCTGTTCAAGTTCAGGCAATGGTTTAATTCTATAAGATGACCATATCTGATAAAACCAAAATAGAAGAAGGTGCAAATGAGAAATAACAGAATCACTTGTTGACTCGGATAGTCTTGCCAAAAGCAATTCTTTTATCTTTGAAGATTCCAATAAAGAAGGAAGATTGATGCTCATAATTGCAGGAAATAGCACATGAAAAGGCACCTGCCTAAGAAAGAGGCTAAATGCAACAGCTGCTGAAGATTCACTAACATCAGATTCCACATGCTCTGCTGTTTCTTTAGTAGAAGCATCACCATTTGCGCCTTGAGGACTAATCATAGATATAACCATTTCTAGACCAGAAAAGAACACTTCAGGCCACATCTTCAAAACACCAGCAAGAAAACTCTGCTCAAGAAAGATTATCGATGACAAGAATGAGTCAGGAACTTGAAGGCGTTGAAAAGTTATCAAAACTGACGGAAAGTTCTTTAATAGCTCATTGGATGATATACATATAATTGAAGAAGAAAGAGCTTTCAATATTCCAGCCCTTTCACCGCCATGCCCACTCTCAACAATATTCCTTACTTCCCCAAGTGTCTCTGTAAAAGAACCATCAGTGGCCATAGCTTTTTGGTCAATGGAAAAATGGCAGCAAGCTCGTTTATTCAATATACTCTCTGCAAAGAGCAATAAGTTCTTCAATGGCCTCCACTCACAGAAGAAAACCTCACGATCATCAATTGAAGGACAGTAATCCGTAAGCCCCTCAGACAAAACTGACCTAATCAAAGCAGATAATAAGCCCGCATCTACCTGTGAAATTTCATCTTTCTTATTACATGACATACAAATGCTTCTCTAATTGCAAGCCAAAATACAAAATACAAAATGCATACCTGGGTTTGCAAAATATACTTCAATGTGCTGCACACATATACTGATATTGTTGATTTTTCAGGCAATGAAAAGGTTCCTGATTCAGAACTGAGTAACCTTACACACTTCTGCAAGATACACATGATGAAAGGGCTAAAATCCAGTGATACATCTGCAAAAAGGAAAAAATAAAAAATAAAAAGGAAAATTGTAACCAAATACATGCCATCATCTGTCATCAATCTTTAGGAAGAGCAGAAAGAACTAGACATCCCTCTCATGCAATCTATTACACATCACAAACAGAAAGTCAAAAGCCAATTTATAGGACTGCCAAACTATCAATAAAATGCTGAAGTGATGTTCCGAAGGTTCAGGGGAGTATCAATTCAACAAAAGAAAATGATAAGAAATTAAACTACCAAATAAAACCATGTAGTTTGCGGGAGTTGTTAGAAAGGTGCTCAGGATTGAATTGGCTACCTGAATTATCAGAGAGAGAGACGGAGCTAACAAGTGTGTCCTAGCATCAACAATTGTTATTTGAAATTTCACTCGGTTTACAGTGTCAAAAGATCATTCAGATGAGTCAATCCACTAAAATATTATACAAGTTTATGCTCAACTGAACGAAGAACACAAAAGTTGTTCCAACCACCCAAACAAAACACGTCAAGCAAAAATCCTTGGAGAGCCCACAACTGAAGTAATTTCTGGATGACCCAAATATACTATTCGTACATACGAGAGATTAGTGTTGATATGGATATGCATCCAGATGTTGAGTTTGACAAAAACTAAATGCAAGACAACAGGACCGTAGACCATAGGACATGGATGCAGAGGCAGGCCATCTATACAAGAAAGGATCAAGTTAATCAAAAAACCAAAAAAGAGAGATCACCCACAAAATATGGTCCACGCCTTAAATGGATTTAACATCCGAGTTGTTGCCATGTTGACAGACGTACAAAAGGGTGAAATGACAAGTCCATTAACATTTTATATGGCCAATATTTTACACAAACAGCTAACTGAATCCTAAAAAAGCTAAAACATTAAATCAAATGTAACCTTTTTTTTTCTATTAGCACACATCCAACATAGTAATGTTTATACCTCCTGCTAAAAAATTCTAAAAGCAATTAAAGGACCCAAAGATGGTTTCTTTGAAACAGCAAATGCTTCTAATATAGCTGAACAACCAAATCATGAAGCAAAAGCCTAAAGATTTGATTTCCCGTAGTTTATTGGTGTGATTATCTATTAAAAAAAAATTGTCATATGCACAGGTATAGCTACATAATCTCAATACACAAAACAAGACTTGCAGATAGAAGTCAATGGAAAGCGTGTGGATTACTAGTTACCTTTAAATTCTTTCAAAGAGCAAGTATAACTCCTAAGAGCATCCCAGTATTTGAATAGGTTATTCCCAATGGTAGAGATGGCATCACATAAGAATGAGATGACAACTGATGACAAACTCTGTGACGCTTCTATTCCTTGGACCTCAAAAGATGATCTGAATGCGGTGTAACCAGGTAAAAAGAAGAACCACGCAACAATTTCCTGTATGTTTCTGTCAAATGCACCGGTACTTGACATAGCTGCCCATGCCAGGTCATATGCCTGAACCTTTATGTCACCAATGGATGAAAAAATCAGTAAGTTAATAAAGGTCTGTAGTTGCTTGTACATCAGTGGCGGAGTTCTAATAGCAATTCCACTTGTTGGAGACCATTTAATGTACTCAACTAGAAGAGACAATAGAGAGCCCTGCAGATCAGTGGGTAATGCTAAAGGATTGCTGAGAAGGCTCATAAAAAACTCAAATGATCCCTCCAAAGTAGTAGGCATTGTCAGCTGCATAAGATAAAATTCAAAGCTAAGGTAAGAGTGACACGTGGAACAGGCTTTCAAGGTCATAAAGTTACATCTTCTATTCAACACTAATTGTTGCCACATAAAATATCCAAAACTAATAACACTTGGAACAGTCTTTCAAAGTCATAAAGTTAATCCATCATTCAACATTCAGTTTCACGTGAGATTTACAGAAATAATAGGAGTCATTAATAGGTGCTGTATAATAATAGTGATTTAAAGCCAATGAGCCATAAATATCAAGATGCAGCAAGTAGCAGATAAAACACAATACAAGTCCATACTTGGAGAAACAAAATCACAATACAGTGGACCTCTTTAACGAATTAGATATGGAAAGCCCGAGATCAAGATATTTTCCAGAAAAGTAGAGGTTGCCAAATAAATTACTTAAATGGACAAATCAAGAACAGTTTAGTCACTAATTTCTAATTATAAAGCAAATAAGCACTGACGGGTGGATGGTCAAAAGAACATATGCACCGAGACCAAGTGAGCTGAACTTGAAAAGGCTAGACCAACAATGGAATATCAAACCAAATAGCTTATAGACAATATTATGGAAAAACAGCAAGAGATTAGATTTCAAGTGCTTAAACCAAAACCGGACTGTCTAACAGGCTGACTTCAGCAAAGAGAAACTGCCTTGTAATGCCAATAAAACCCAGTGCATAAAACTGCAATGGGTACTTTTTACATCTAAAAATATTTTGTCATTTAATTTTTCCAGAAGAGAGCCATCCATTTTTGTATATGCAAATTAGATGCACAGAAAACAGAAGGAAATTCAAGCTTTCGTACAATGTCTGAGTTACAGCACCAATTGAAACTTACAAGATAAATTTTGAGAGCATCAAGCAGTTTAGCGTGGAAAAACATCTCTGCATCCTTCAGTGTAATAACAGGCAAAGAGCACAGGTCAGAACCCCAAAGCTCTAGTATAAGATTCATAAAATCCTTTCCACTGTCTGGCTCCTCTGATGCCTTCGCATCTGGAACAGGTTCGCTCTCCCCAGGCAAAGAGACATCAAGAGCTGAACTTATTCCAGCAACGACAATGTCCATCTCCTCATCCAAAGCTTCTGTTTTCAGTTTCTTTATTCTTTTGCCTCTTTGTTTAACAAAATTTTCTTCATCTGCTTTTCTTTTCAAACATTTCTCATCGGTTCTAGCATGGCTGCCTAATGAAGAAAGCAAGGTCAATAAAACTTGGGGATCAGGAAGCAAAGTTCGAATCTCATTCTGTATTTCCTGCTTAAGAGATGCCCATCTATGCGAATCTTGTTTCCTAGAACAGGAAAGGTTAATAGATCTGATGAACGAATCCAACAGTTTCAGTCCCTTCAAAAGAAGTCTTAAAGTTCCATTCTTTACAAGAAAATCTGAGTGAAGTAACCCCTTATTGATTACTGATCTGCTGAATGGACGAGGAGCTATGCAATTAATGATACTCTGCACATCCACGCTATCAAAGGAAGGTGAACCATCAGATTGCGAATCAAGGAAACCAAAATGAAGGCCGACACCCACTGATGAAACTAAGTTTGCTGCCAGAGAAACAGTAGAAAACCTGCTACAGCTTCAGTTGCAATGCATATGTGTAGAGGCAAATGGAAAAGAAAAGAAACGGTAAAAAAGGACATGGTGTGTGCAAAACTAAGCAGAAATCTGACCAGGAAGGTGAAGCATAATCTTCAAGGTTGTAAGGGAAATCCTCCAAATACGCTGAGCCAAAAGATGGCCTCCCCTAACAATAGCTAAGAGCAAGTCTCTGTGATAGCCAATGTCTGCTGCCTTTAGCTTCTTCATGAGCCCCAAGAGTCTCTTTGGATTACCCTTTAGTGGATATGGGTGTCTATCCATATCCGGCATCAATCCATTGCTAGGATCAGTACAAACCATAAGTAACACCTTGTGTGCCAACTCGGCAGCATCTCCACCATCCCCCCTACCAGAAATCCCGACTAACTGTTCCAAAGTAACATTCCCAAAGAGAACACTCCTAAGACCCGGAGGCACCAATGACTGCTCAGTAAGCACTCTATCACTCAATGTGGACAAAACATAAATCACAGTCTCGTCATCATCATTTCCAAGTCCTCGAAGAACACCCGAATACATCTCCCTTTGCTGCAATACCCACCTCAACAACCCTGGTTTCCCCACCTCCAAAAACGACATAGCAAACCCAACAAACGCCTTTCTAGTAGACTTCTTTCTCTTATCATTTTTTTGCCTCTTCTTATACTCCGCAAGCTTCAAAAACCCCTGAAGCTTAAAATCAAAACTCTTTGCAACCTCCGAAGCCAAACCCGACCCCCGCCTAACGATTGACGCGATCAACAAAAGCGCTGCCTTTTCACGCTTCCCGTCTTTACTGTTCAACTCCTTGCAAACACCATCCATTTTCTCTTGGACAATCAACTGAGCAAACTTATCAAGAGCCCTACTAACAAACATCCTCTGTTTATCATTAGCCCTATATTTTCCCTCCGAATGACTGAAAATCGCCGAAATCAACGATATTACATAGGACATTCCATCTTTCCCTGCCCTAAGCTTCCAAGCACTTAGAAGTTCCGTAAAACTGGACGATATTTGTACATAAACACGAAGCAATTCTCCCCCGGACTCACTTTTTAGTAACTTGATAAACTCTTTCGTTCCGTCTTTACACAACTTAACCTCGTTTGAAATTATTTTGTGCAGTAATTCTCTAAGCTTGGCTTCGTGGTTTAATTTTATTTCAAACTTTGGCACTTCATCTTCCTCAACTTCACTATCATTTTCAGCGTCCATTATAACTGCAAAAGAAAAATGAAATAAATTCGACTGAGAAATGCGAAACAATTAAAAGTGTGTGCTCGTGTGAATGAAAAAGTGAGTGAAGTTGGTGTTTCTACGTACCGTTGTCGTCGGAGGCGGAGCTTGGGTTGTCCATTGGAGAGCGTGAAGCTAGTGAGGAGGTGGTTGTTTCGGAATTTGGAGAATTAGGGTTTAAGCAGGGGAGCTGAGACGTAAGAGTAAGAGGGTTTTGTGACTGGAGTAGGGGGTGCGTCTGTTTTGGGCTGGATTGGGCTGAATATTTGAATGGGTTTATCTCTTGGCCCATACACATTCAAAAGAGGCCCACATATAGGGCTTGTTACAAGCTTTTTCATTATTAAAACGGAGAGATGACCAAAAAAAAAAGGGTTAAAGGTTGCGTAGATTCGTTTACTCTTTCTTTTGTTTTTATTGTGTTATTTTACATTTTTTTCTTGTCTTAAATTTATTTCTCTATATTTGATTTCTATCTTAATCTTGTCACTCCATTAACTTTTTAAACCAATAGTGTTAGCTTGTTTTTTTTTTAAGTCTTAATCTCATTCCCTTAATATTTTTCCGACTTAATATTTTTTTATCAAATTTAAATAAATAAATTTTGAAAAAATAAAAATATATATCCAGCCATTCTTTCCAAAAATTAAAATAAAAAAAATTGAAAAAAAGGATGAAGATAAAAATATTATCTAAAATGTCTGCTTAAATTATTTTTATGATAATAAGCAACTTTGAGTATAAAATAAAATATTTATTGTATTTTTTAAATATGAAGAGAGTTTTAGTTAAATTTTAAACTTTTAAAAGGTATTTATAATTTTGTAATATCTTCAAATGAGTCTATTATAATTTATTTATTTTGATTGTTTAAGTTTTTAATTTTACTCAAAAAATGAGATATAATTTTTTTTAATGTTAGACCCAACACTAATAAATTTTTTAATTTGAAAAAAATTCGTAACAAACTTTATACTCTCACTTTTGAGTCAAAATAAGAAATTTATAAAATCAAAATAAGTACATTAAAGTCGACTCTTTTGAAGTATTATAAAATTATAAGTATCATTCAAAAGTTTAAAATTTTAACTAAAACTCTCTTCACGTTAAAAAAATATACTATAAATATTTCATTTTATACTCAAAATTTGCTTACGATCATAAAAGATGAATTGAAATTCATAAAGGATAGTTTGGATGAAAAAAATATATTTTTAGCTTCATCTCTATTTTTTAAGTCTTTTTTATTTTTAATTTTAGAAAAAAATTATCCAATATATCTTAAATGTTTTTTCAGATTTTTTATTATTCAAATTTTATTTATTTAAATTCAATAAACAAATTAAGATGAAAAAAATATAGTAGAAGGATGAGATTGAGAGAGAAAGAACAAGTTAACATTATTAGTCTAAAAGTTAATGAAGGGATAAGATTAAAATAAAAATCAAATATATAAGGATGAATTTAATACCAAAAAAAAAAAATAGTAGAAGGACAAGATAAAGATAAAATAAATAGTAGATAGACTTCTGCAATCATTAACTCTAACAAATATGATCACAAAAGGTCTCTCGTTCCTTAGAACAATATTTATGTATAAAGTAGATTAAAAATAGATTAAATCCGCTTTTTTTGGGTTAAAAATAGATTATCTAAGATTGAATCCACTTTTTAGTGTTAAAAATAGATAATTCATGAAAAATTATATTTTTGCTACCTGATTTGAATTCTAATTGATGAGTTGATGTATATATGGCAGCTAAGTATGTCAATCCTTAAAATTAGACTAAAGAGCGGAAAGGATGGTTTATAACTTTTGCACATTAAACTAATTTCATCTCTTAATCATGGATGTCACCCTGATGAGTAAAAATATTGTGAGCAAACCCAATGCTCTTTGAGAACTTGAATTAATAAATAATCTCGAGAAAGCATTTTTAAACTAAATGATTGTTTTGTGTGAAGTAATTTTGTCTAAGCATAATTAAATGGAGTCATTGTAACACTTGATCTATGCATATAAGTTTGTTTATTTTTTAAGATTTTACTAAAATGACAAATGAATTGTTTTCTATGTCATCGAAGTTTGAAATCAAAAGAGATGTTATGAAATTTTTTGTTTTTTTTTTAAATATTATCATAAGAATTTAGCTTTGATGCACGATATAATTATTAAAACTCAAAAAAATACCAATGATTTTGCTATAATTAAAGGTTTTTTAGGAAAAATAATACCTTGCTCTGGTTCTTTAAAACGCTAAACTATTTGCCTTTAAAAAGCATGTACTAGATTAACTATGTGACGGTTGAATCCATTAGGATTTTTGTTTACTTGTTATCCATTTCAAAATCACTTAACTTATTCGGTGAATTGATATATAATTTTGTTATTATCGTATATTTATTATATTTTATACAACTCTTTCAACGAAGTAAACTTACATGTAAAAAGTAACCAATCCATTTAGACTTTGGCAGTTCAATCTATGGATTCATCACTTAAATGGTTGTTCCAATTGGTTTTTTCAGATTATTGTTGAAACTTACTTTTGAAAAAACAAAACAAGATTTGTTTAGAGCTTTATGGTACCAGTTTTTATTTATGGTTTTTTATTTTCTAAAGTCCCAAAACTATTTCTTGCCTATTTTTTGTTTATCGTTTATAGTTTTCTAAGAACTATTCATTTATTAATAGAGATGTATATGAAAAAAAATCGTATACGAACTTAATTCAATTTAATAGATTAAAAAATATTAGTTAAAATATAAAACTAATAATATTACATATCTAACAATGGTGATGAAATGGTTCATTATCACAACAGTGGCAATGGTGCGAACATAATAACTATTGGTATCGTATTTACTTGATTTGTCAATAAAAATTGATTAAGTAATTTAATTAATTGGGTACTTATTCATGATTTTTTTTCTTAATTTTTCATGGATCTAAGCTATACAAATAAATTGGATTGACAATGAATTTCACTCGAGCATGGGGTTTTGGGTCTTGCACGGATGGGCACAAATACTATGATAGGACAATGTACATGGCTTGTCTCCGGAATGCATTAGGAAGATTAATTTGATGGGCTTCGAGTAGGATCTATTAAATAAAAGTCTAATTGCTTATTTTCTCCAATCTTTTCTAACAAGTCAAAGTGTTTTAGTTCGAAAAGGCTCATTTTCTTTTATACAGCTCAAATCCTATTGTCCATACCCGAATGATGTAGTGCGATCTTAATGGTCAAAGGTTTTATCACTATCAAAAAAATACCAATTAGCTATGGCATTTAGCGACGGATTAAAATTCGTCATTATTTAGCAATGGATTACAAAAGGTTATGTTTTACAACGGATCAACGACACACTAACAACGGATACTTAGCGATGGTAAAAAATCCGTCACTAAATAAGGCAGGGAAAAAAACACCAAAATTAACGATGGATTAACGACGATCATGTAGTACCTAAATGAAAAAGTTAGAGACGAAATTTTTTTCATCGCTAAAATTCTCGTAATTTGGTAAAGTTAGCGACGGATTTTGGAATCCGTCACGAACTTTGGAATTTTAGGGGGAAATTTCACCCCAAAGTTAGTGACGGATGTTGAGTCCGTCGTTAACATTTCATATTTTGGGGGGAAATTTCACCCCAAAGTTAGTGACGGATGTTGAGTCCGTCGTTAACATTTCATATTTTGGGGGAAATTTCCCCCAAATTAGCAATGGACATTGAGTTTGTCCCCAACTTTGGGATTTTGAGAGGAAATTTTCCATCAAAAATTTTTCCTAAAATCGCCACTTAGCGACGGATTGAGAAATCCGTCACTAATTTTACATTCAATTCGTTGCTATTTTGAAATTTTAGATGAAAATTTTTCCACCCATACGGTTCAAATTAATGATAGATTTGCTATTCCATCGCTAATTAGCGCAGATTGACAATTCTGTCACTTTAATCTGTCGCTATTTTGAAATTTTTGAATGGAAATTTTTCCACACACAAGGTTCAAATTAGCGACGGATTTACTATTTCGTCGCTAATTAGTCACGGATTGGCGATTCCATAACTAATTAGGGACAGATTTCAATATGTCGCTATGTTGAAATTTTTAGTGGAAATTTTCCAACCCACAAGGTTCAAATTAGCGACGGATTTGCTATTTCATCGCTATTTTGAAATTTTGGGTGGAAATCTTCATACCCACAAGGTTCGAATTAGCGACGAATTTTATTCTATCACTAGTTAGTGACGGATTAGCAATTCTATCGCTAATTACCGATGGATTGGTGATTCCGTCATTAATTAATGACATATTTATTTTGAAATTTTTATTGAAAAGTTTCCCAGCTACACGGTTCAAATTAGCGATGGATTTACGATTCTAACGCTAATTAATGATGAATTGGCGATTCCGTCTTAATTAGCGATGGATTAGTGACGGAATCATGTCCTTGGTTAATCTTTGAGCCCATAAACACACGAGTTCGTTCTTCTTTCTCATTCGGTCCCCTCTTTCTTCCACCCAATATCCATCGTCAACCGTAAAACCATCACCCATGCCGCCCTCGCCACCAAGTGACTTCTCAAACCATTCAACTCAATGAGGTGCATCTTTCTCCCTCAAAATCCAATAAAATCTCTCGCTTTCTTTCCTTTGTCTCTTTGGTAAAACTTTCTTTCTAACTCTTTCGTTTTTTTATAAAAAAAAATTAAATGAATGTTATAAACTTTTAAATTAATTTTGTTATTTGTTAGTCGATTAATTATTTGAATGTTGTTAATTTTATTATTATATTAATTTTTAATCGTGTTGATTTATTTGTTAATTATATAGTGTAAATTTGTTAATTGTTTATTTAATTTTCTTAATTGTTAGATTAATTTTTTTAAGTGTTATTTTTTAATTTTTTTAATTTATAGGTTGATTTTTATGTTAATTTTAACCTAAAAATTATTAATTATGTTAATTGTTTAGGTTTAATTTTATTAATGTGATTTTTTAAAGTAATTTAGTTAAGGTTGATTTATTGTTAATTTATTTATTTTTAATTTTTAGATTAAAATTTAATTATTTAATCTTTAATTATTATTTAAAATTAATTAATTGTGTTAATT